CTTTTAATTAATACAGTTTTAGGCATAAATTTAGTAATAATTTACTGTAAGTAAACTTATTTTGATACTTTTGCATGTCTATGTCCTATAAATGCATATATTTGATTGTAATAGTAAATTGTTCTGGCCCACTTACACTGTTTTAGAAAAAACATTTTCATTTTATTGTCAACTGAAAAAAGGATTATTATTCGTATTCGTAATTGTGTTATCCCCAAATATTGAAATCCTTAACAAAGTTTTAATTCTGATATTCATTTTGATAATTATCCTAGATATGCCAATTTAATTAGGCATTCCAAACTGAATGGCTACCAGTGGGTTTTGACGGATTATGATATGCAAAATTATGGCAACCCTGTAGGCCTGGTGATTCGACAAGGTCAATGAAATAGATAGTTACATAGATTGATCATCCATATTTTTCAAAATAAATATAAGCTTATGCCTTGAAGTAAAAATGTAAGCAATTTTTTTTTTTAAATATCTAAAGGCTAAAAATTGGTTTTAAAACACATTTTTGCTAAACCGATTCAAATTAATAAATATTTGCCAGGCAATATGGCCGCTCGTAAACGACCAGCTTTGAGCAATCTATATAACTATATATGAGAGAGTTGATAGTCGTTGCTGACTAGTTAATAATTAAACCAGTAATTAGTGGGTAATGCAGCAAATGAAAGAGTACTTTTTTAAGTTTATTCCAAGCTTTCGGAAATGTTTATTTCCATCATCAAGGAGACTAAAATAAAATAATACCACATATTATGATAAAGGTAAAAAATTTTTTTTGTCATCACTTACATCTTAATTAAGGTTGTTCATTTTGGTAGTATTATTCAGTTTAGTAAAAATACAAAGTAAAATGGACAAGCTGAAGTCAATTACAAAATAATATTATACACAAACAATAACTACGATACTTTAAAAAATAATAAAAAATATAAATAACGAAAGGTCAATTTGACAATTTGACATGACAAGTAAAATTTTAAATAACGTTATTACTAACCATATACATAATAATACCTCTAATAACTCTTTTTATCATAATCTATACAATAAAACTAAAAAGTTTCTAAAAGATAATCCTGATATTGTCCTAACTAGATCCGACAAAGGTAATTAATATAACCGTAATTCTTAATAAACAACAATATTTTAATCTTTCTAATGAATTAATTCTAAATGATAACTCTTATATACAAATTAATAATGATCCAACAGCATCAATTCAGCTAAAATGCAACAAATTAGTTAAGAATTTAGCTGAAACGAACCAAATAGATACTAATTTAAAAAAGAAACTAACTAACTATAAAGGAATATCACCAAAATTCTATGCTTTACCTAAGGTAAATAAACCTACTTTATCAGTTAGACCTATAGTAGCATCAATAGGTGCCCCTACTGCTCTTCTTGCTTCGTTTCTTACTGATATCTTAACAAAAGCCTATGACTATGATAATGTTTATTTTATAAAAGACTCCTTTGAAGTCTCACAAACTTTTAATGGTATGACACTACCTAATGATCATGTTATTGCTAGCTTGGATGTAGTATCTCTTTTCAGTAATGTTTACTTAGATGCAGTACACAGATCTATCTATAAAAATTGGGATCGCATAAGCAATCATTGTAATATTAATCAATCAACTTTCATAGATCTCATTTCCTTCTTATTTAATAATACATATTTTTCCTTCGATAACAAATACTATAAACAAACTTTTGGTACCCCTATGGGTGCATCTATCTCACTTATCCTAGCTGCTTATGTGATGGATGACTTACTGGACACAGTTATTCCAGTTTTATCTTTTAATATACCTTTTATAAAAAAGTATGTCGATGACATTATCCTTACACTCCCTAGTTGGGGCCTAGACGAGATAGTAAATACTCTTAATAGCTATGATCCATACATACAATTCACAATAGAAAAGGAAGATGAAAATTGCTCGGTTCCATTTCTAGATACCAAGTTCATAAGAACCCCAGATAACAAAATCATTATCGATTGGTATAGAAAACCTTGCAGTTCAGGTAGATACCTGAACTATCATTCTTACCATAAACAATCTATGAAAGTGAATTTAATAAAACAAATAAAAAACAGAGTTTTGAAAATCTCAGACCGGTCTTTCCATAAAATGAATCTTGATATCATTTATAAACTTTTTATTGACAATTCATATCCAAAATCACTCCTTAATAAAATTATATACAGTACATCATATACAGTTAATGAATTCATACAAAATAATGAAATCACCCCAATTATTGCAAACCATGATCAAAACAGTGATAATCTTACACCACATACCCAAAATACTGCTCTACTTAATAATTTAAGAAACTTAGCTCCCAATAACATGAATTTAGTTGTTTCACAAGAAAACAACATACACTTTACCTCTTTACCTTACATCAAGGAGATCACACCTAAACTATCAAGAATTATAAATATTAATAATAACATTAAGATAGCCAATAAGGCAGTTCTAACAATAGGCTCAATCTATTCTAAACTCAAAGATAAAACTCCCTTAAAATCATTATCAGATGTAGTATACAACATTCCTTGTCTAGAATGTAATAAAGTCTATATTGGTCAAACACAAAGACCTATCTCAGGTAGAATCTCCTCCCACAGGAGTGATTGCAGACTACATTCAGAACGTTGTGCTTTGGCTGAACATGCTAATAAATATCAACATAATATAAATTATGATGAAATTAAAATATTAGCCATTGAAAATAACTACCATAAAAGACTTTTCTTGGAGATGGCTTTCATTTCACAGGAACCAAATTCTATGAACAAAAAGACAGATATTAACAATTTAAGTGTAATTTATTCTTATTTATTGGATTTGGACAATAAACCAAACCAAATTCATAATTTAAATAATACAGAGCTAATTTAATATAAAAATCACTCTTTGAACATTTAAAAAATATTAATGATATGTAAACATAGCATTATCCACATTTATTTCCTAACCTCTAATAACTTGTTATTTAAAATTTTACTTGTCATGTCAAATTGACCTTTCGTTATTTATATTTTTTATTATTTTTAAAAGTATCGTAGTTATTGTTTGTGTATAATATTATTTTGTAATTGACTTCAGCTTGTCCATTTTACTTTGTATTTTTACTAAACTGAATAATACCACCAAAATGAACAACCTTAATTAAGATGTAAGTGATGACAAAAAAATTTTTTTACCTTACTTTATCATAATATGTGGTATTATTTTATTTTAGTCTCCCTGATGATGGAAATAAACATTTCCGAAAGCTTGGAATAAACTTAAAAAAGTACTCTTTCATTTGCTGCATTACCCACTAATTACTGGTTTAATTATTAACTATATATGTATCATTGACCCTGTTAATGCCAACATGACAACAGGGTTGCCATTTCTAAACTGTCATTACCCACTGGTAGCCATTTGGACAGGTTGTTGGAATGCCTAATTGTATGTATTATAACCAAACTTTTTAATCTTTATAAATCTAAGGTATTTTCATTACATAAAGCAAGAAAATCTTAATTAGACGTTATAGAAATTAGAAGTAGTAAATTAAAAATTAGTTAAATCGCTGCAAATGCAAAAGTATTTAGTCACATATAATCAAAATCATGTGCTTTGGGAAGTTTTTCGCTTTCAACAATTGTTTTTTTTTCTTTTTGTTTCAGGATTCATGGATGGAACTCTTGTTTTATTTCGCACGATTAAAGAAAAATTTTGTTCGTTTTGTGTCATTTAAAATAGTTGTTTATTCAGAAAATATATATTATGTTTATTGTTGTAACCAATAAAGATCCAACAAATAATATTTAGTTATAATACAATTTTGTATTATTTATTTTATACCTCTAAAATTATTTAACATAAAATTTTACATTTTTATTAGCATTTTTTAACACGCATGAGATGCGTGTTAAAAAAATGCTATTAAAAATGTAAAATTCTTATATTTTGTCGAAGTAAATTCAAAAGCCCGCCAATTTTCAAATTAAAATAGCATTACAGCTTTTTATATTACCGACTGAGTATTAGTTGCACAAAACTATCCCACATGTCGCTGATGGCAAACATGTTGCCATATTTATACAAAGAAACGGCAACTCTTAATTATCCTTCCTCCATGGGATATAGATCGGGAGATATAATTTGATAAATGATCATGAAGAACGAATTCTATAATCTTTGCCTTGCCTTTTTTTATGAACTGGAGTTACACGAGATATCACTCATTAGGGATAGTGCAAGATCTTAGAATTTTATTAAACATTGTATGTAGAGGAGTTGCAAAAATGTATGCACAATCTTTAATAATAAAGGCAGGTAGCAGGTCAGGTCCCATTGTCATATTTGGTTTCAATTTTTTAATAGCCTTGACAATTTCGTCTTGTGTTATTGATTTTATGTAGAGCGTCGGAAAATTTAAAGTCAATTCATTTGCGTAGTTGTAGATGCTGACTGAGAAGAACTATTAAAGAAATGGTCTGCAAAAGCCTGGACGATTGCTTGTGGGTCTTCGATAAAGCAATTTTTATACTCAACTAATGTTGGTATGGAGAATGAAGAATTTTTAGACTTCATATAGCTCCAGAATTGTTTAGGATCGCTTATATTTCTTTCAATATTTCGCAAATACAAAGTGCGAGCCGATGAGATTTCTCATTTAATATTAGAGCAAAGGTTTTTAAATGCATTTAAAGAAAAATGTATTGTATCTTTATTAGGTCAGAAACTTTTTAGACCATTTTCGTATATCCTGAGATACTACCCGATTTTCTAGAAGATTTTCGTTTATTTCTTTGCACCAAAATTTATCTGGTAACTAAAAAACTTCCTCAAATAAAACATGAAAGGTAAATACATACGAGCAAATATAAGAATGACTCCTAATATTCTAGATAAATTTCTTCTTAAATTTAGATCCTGTGTTTGATTTAACATCAAATTGTTATAGATACTTACATATAATTTGTAGGGTTTTCATTCCTCACTAATCTATCAATTAACGACATTTTTTTGAACAAATATTCTGAAAATGCAACCACAACACCGTACCAGAACACAATCAACTAGAATGATTTATTTAAATGGTATTTCTTTCAAATAACTACGATAAGATATCATTTTAAATTGCTTTGGATCAATAGTATAAATTTAGGTGTATAATAATATTTAATAAATATACGGTCTTTAATGGTTTAGTTGGAATGTACCGGGTGATACTAAATAAGAAAAACAAGATTAATTTATTTTGAATACCTTAAAGATTATTTATTATTTGCATTCACAATAATCGATAAAATGCAAGCGAATATTGTTTTTATTTAAGAAAATATGTTTGTAATTGTTCTGATAAAAAAATGGTTGTTGTTTACTAGAACAAATAAATACCATATCGTTTCTTAGAAATAAGATATTTGACGTGTTTAAAGATGCAACCAGAAATATATTTCAAACTTTACATCAACATTTTCTGACCTAACACTTTTACGATTCAGGTCTCCCGCGCCGGAGAAGTAACTACATCTCCCAAATTTTTAAAATATCAAAAGGATCATTTGATACCACATTTTAGGGGTTTTAATTCTTAATTTCTGCAGTAGGTTGATTTTTTATTTTTTGACATTGCTTACAAAAAAAATCTTTTTTAATATATCTTTTACATAGGTAATTTAAAACGAAAATAATTTAGTTAATTTCTTCTACAATAAAAGTGACTGAATTTCTTGTAAAACGTTTATTTGAGGTATTCATCTATACCAGTTGAACATTGGAGGGACTAGGGCCTCTAAACCTAAGAGGTGCAAGCATCCAGCTTAAGGGGGAGGTAAAATATCTCTTGGTTATGATTGACTCGAGACTTACCTGGAACCAGCAGCTAGAAAAAACCACAAGGAGAGCGGAAACCTCGTTAATGATGGCAAGGTGATCCTTTGGAAAAAAATGGGGGTTAAAACCAGGCATGGTATATTGGCTTTATAACATGATGATGAGACCGATAATAACATACGCAGCTTCGGTGTTGTGGCCGAAGATACAGCAAAGGAAAGCAATAACGAGGCTAAGCAAGGTTCAAAGACTTGCCTGCCTCGGAATAACGGGGGCAATGAAAACAACCCCCACAGCTGAAATGGAAGTACTAATAGAACTCCACCTCTTCACTATGTGATGCAAGGGGAGGCAAGATTAGGTGCTTAAAGATTAGGGAATACACTGGGAAATATTGACATTAGGCCAGGTCATATGAGTATCTCAAGGTTAGTGTCAAGAGACGTGCTAGACATGAGATCAGACCACATAACCAAGAGGTACTCTTTTAATATTCCATTTGAGGTTTTAATACAGGAAAGAGCGGAGATCACCATAAGAGAGCCCAATGCCCAACGACAGGAATAAACCTGGTATGCAGACGGGTCTAAGACTGCGGAAGGCACTGAGGCTGAAGAATTCTCCAAAAAACCTCCTACTAACCATAGCTATGCTCTAGGAATACATTCCTCGGTATTTCAGGCCGAAGTATATGCAATTTTGCAATGTGCAAAAACGAACAATGAAAGAGCTGTCGAAAATCAGCATATTCAAATAATGTCAGACAGCCAAGCAACACTTAAGGCCATATCGAGTCAGAAAGTTGCGTCGAGGCTGGTATGGAAATGCATCAAATAACTAAGAACACCGACAGACCGAAATAGAGTAAAACTATTTTGGATGCCAGGTCACCAAGGGATCGAAGCCAACGAAAAAACTGACTTGCAAAAAGAGGGTCAGAAGAAACACCGGAATCAGACACAAACCCAGGAGTACCAAAAATTACAGTCCGGGGTTTCATAAACGACTGGATTCGGGAACAACATATTAACTATTGGGGAAGCATCCCAAAACAGGCACATGGAAAAGCCTTCATAGGCAGACCATGTCCCAAAAGAACTGGAGAACTACTCTTAATGAATAGGAACCAGTTGAAAGTGATAACAGGGTTCATGACTGGACACGCTTCAGTAAAGGAACACTTGAACAAAATTGGCATGTACAATGGGGAACTCATGTGCCGACTATGTCACAAGAAACAAGAAATGGCCAAATACATACTGTGCGCATGCGAAGCTCTAGATTGCAAAAGACAGGCACTTTTTGGACAACCCCAGGTTGATTCAACAACGTATAGAACCCACTCATTCAAGAATCAGAGTAGGTGGTGCTATGAACTAACATGGGCTAAAACAAAATAAGCCAATAGGCTAAAGTGTTATTCGGAGACATAGTCAGACGAGCCCAGGAGAAAAAAAATATCAGTTGGTTTGTTATAAACTATCCCTTTGATTTTAGATAACTACAAATAGTCCAGTGTGGTCATGTCGGGAGAATTGGCACGATTAACTGTTAATTCTACCATTCGGAAAGTTAAGTACAGGTCAAGTTAATCCCTGAGGAGTACCTCTGAACTTCTATACTGTTTTATTTAGTAACAAAGTTAAGTACAGGTCAGTTAAATATCTAAAGAGTACCTCTGAACTTCCATTTAAAGCTTCTGCTTTTGTGAGTAAAAAAAAAGTTAAGTATAGGTCAGTTCAATATTTGAGGAGTACTTCTGAACTTTTAATTTAAAGCTTTTGTTTTTATGATTAAAGAAATTAAGTATAGGTCAGCCAAATATCTAAAAAGTACCTCTGAACTTATTGCTTTTATTTTGTCTGCTTTAGCACAAATTGAGTGAAATCTTTTGAAATATTAAATATAGTATAATCACAGCTTATACAATAGAGCTAAAACACTCTCTTGGCGGCAACGGTTTGCGTCGATTTCGTCGCGCATCGCCTTCGCCTTCAAAGGGAAAAGATGGTTTTGGCGTTCAGAAGTGTACTTAGGTAAGGTGTTGAGTCGTGCGTATAATTTCGTTGATTGTATAATTTCGTGGAGCCTATAATTTCGTTGATTTTGTTTGAGTTAAAGGTACTGTTATTATTTTGGTGACTCTTTAGCTGTGAGTAGAATGAGTGAAAAAAAAAGACATCATTCTGTTTGTGCAGTCAAAAGCTGTTTTAATAAGGGTTATACCTGCAAGAAAACATTTTTTAGTTTTCCCAAGGACCCAAACCGATAAGTAACACATTATAAGAAATTTTCATTGTTAAAAATATAATTTATACAGGGTGTCCCATTAGTGCGTTATTGTTCATTATTTTGTTGTAGACACGCAAAAAAGTTTTAAATAAAAGTTATATGGATTTGAAAAATACCTACATATTTTAAAAATATCTTTGGATATACAGGGTGTTACGTTTTTTCCTGGCAAATTAAAATGTATGTTTTTTAAATGGAACACCTTGTATTTTATTTTATGATGAAATTATTAACACCCTAAATTATTGTAAAGACGAGTTGCTACAGAAAAAATTTAACAGGTATGTGTGTGGTTACCTTTTAATAAAAGCCTTGCGGATCCACTCCTGTGATACCTGTCTTAAATATAACAAAGATCACGTTGAATTAGATGATTTTTTTTTTATTGCTTTTTAAAGGCATATGATAACGCCAATTCAGATACATTTGGAAATCTGCAACTGTCAAATGATGAATTTGTAGAACTAATATTCAATATTGAAAAGATATTTCAAAATAATTTTGAAAAATTGGCTACAAAAAATAACATTTGTACCACACTTTTAGAATTAATTAACCCAATACCCTTTAGTCATCCATGCTAACGTTTTCCAAAAGAATAACCTATTTTAATGTATGTTTAATCTCAATAACTAAAAAATATACTGACAATTAGTTTGACAGAATTGTCATTTATTTAAAATTTTAAAAATAATAGCAGTCGGTTGATCAAAATATGAACGGTGATTGGAGAATTTTTTTTTGCAGTGTTCTCACTACCTAGAATGGATATGAAATATATTCGTTCAATTGAAGGCAATAGCATACTTCTTCGTTTTGTAATCTGTGCATGGATATTAGCCAATCTATGCACATGCTACAAAACAAAAAAGTATGCTATTGCGTTCAACTACAAATATATTTCATATCCATTTTAGGTAGTGAGAACACTTTAACAAAATTAAATCTACATATCACGTTCATATTTTGGTCACCCAACTCCTATTATTTAAATTTTTTTAAATAAGTGACAATTCTGTTAAACTAATTGTCAATATATATTTTAGTTATTGATATTAAATATACATTAAAATTTTTGTGTAGACTCGATAAATAATAGCATTTTTGTTTTTATTGTGTCCACATTTAAAAAAAAAAATTTTAATCAAACTACATGATACTAATTTAATTACGAGTATTAAAATTAAAGTCCTGAAAGTTTCGGTGAAGATGAGGACAGAGCATCTGCCTTCCACGCGAAAAGCCCGGGATCGAATCTAGGCCGAGGACTAATTAATTTTTCATGTTTATTTTATTTTATAAATTAGTCAACTTCGTAAATTATTTTAAAATTAGTTATTTTGTCTAAATAACCTAAAATATTTTTTTAAATTTGTAGATTTTCGTTAGTGGGTCGTAGAAAAAATATACTGACCATATCGAGTGGATTGTTCATATCACAATCAGACGATTGAGTACTCCGCCTACGACGTCGTGCTCAAACTTCGTCTTTGTGTGATATGGCTATCATATCCACCCTTGTTGAACTAACTACTATTCATTTGTTTTCTTGGTTTAAGTTTTACATCAGAAATAGGAACTAAATTAATTTACTTTTCAAGTTTTCTTGTAAAAATCGATATTACTTTCTCCAAGTACAAATTTAGTACCTACCTAAAATAAGTACTACTTATGTAATTTCGTGTAATATTGTAATTCAAATTTCACATTACTATAAAGTTTCAAAATTCCCTACTTCGGTATGGTCAGATAAAAATTGAATATATTACGAGTATATTAATAAAAACTGTCAAAGTATTACTTCTACAAATCTGTATTTCAATTAATAAGAATACATCTAAATATAACCAATATTGTTAAAATAAAAGCACAAATTCTTTATAATTCCAAAATACCATAGAGTTCCCAGACCTTAGTCGAAGCATTCGTTTATCTAGGTATAAACCCTTTGCGCGAAGAGTAACACTTGCCAGACACACGGGTTACCACTTGATTTGCATCCACGAGCGTGACAAAATTCTTTAACAATTGAAGCCCTTGGTGTAAAAAGGATCCAAGCCACAATTTGTCGTGAAGTGACTGTTTTAGCTCAAAACATTTGTTAACGAGGATTTTACTAGCCACATACAAATTATTTTACCTCTAAAAGATGTGCTATTTTTCGTAATATTTATATTTAAATAATTTTTTT